TGCTTTCTGCTAGGTGAGTGAGCAACTGCTATTGAGAGCGAGATGTTCAAATGTAGTAATAATAGACGGTAACTTTAACACCCATGTAGGGGAACTTGAGCCAATTAGAAAAGGCATCTTGGAGGTATCTACGGAATCTCATGGCAACGAACCGACAACGGTGATCATCTGTTGCAAGTTCGCTCCAACAAGAACTTGTTTCTGGCCAGCACTAACTATAGGCATAAAGAGAGTCTCACATGGCATCCACCAACTTCAAACCAACGATGGACACGGGATAGATTACATTGCTATAAGTCATCGTTAGAGAGGATCAGTGGAGGATGGTGGCTCTTTCTAGAGTACTAGTTTGGACTCCGATCACTCGCTAGTAAGGGCTCGTGTATGTCTGCGCCTCACTGGTCGAGGGAGTCAGGCGATAGTAAAGCCTATCTACGGTCGATTGGAAGATGGAAACGTCAAGTCCAAATTAGGGAGGAGACAGTTAAGCATTTACCTGAACATGGCAGCAATACTCACCCTGAGGAAACCTTGCATGACATTAAGTCTGTTGTAAAAACAGCGGTAAAGAAAATTGGAAAGTTTCACGTTAAGGTTTGCAAACGTCATTGGATTTCCACGACGCCATCCAAGCTGGTTGATGCGAGGAGACTGATTCCAGCTGGCTCTGACCACGATGAAGAGCGAAAGCAACTAAGACGTAAGTTGACCAAGAGGCTTCGCATCGATCGCCAACAGTGGTCAGTAGCGAAAGCTAGTGAGATGGAGAGGACATCAGAGCTGGGTAAAACTCGGCGACTAATTAGGTTTATTAGGGATACCGGCAAGAAAAAGGCGACGGTGAACAAAACCATCACCGAAAAGGATAAGGCAGTGATAACCTCTCAGGAAAGGTGACTAGAACATTGAGCAGAAGACTTTGAAGTACAGTTCAACTGACCCTCGGCAACGCTTCAGTTACCCAACGACCAGCCCGAACCTGGATGGGACGTAGATGTCGGTCCTCTAACTCCTCTTGAAGTTGAGAAGGCTGTTTTGAACCTGAAACGACGCAAAACAGCAGGACCTGAAAGCTATTTTCACCTGAAGTTTGTGAGGGTGGCAGCAGTAAGTTGTTGAGTAGAGTAACGGGGCACTAGGTAGCGTGTGGGAATCAGATGTGGTATCGTCACGCTGGTCTAGTTCACTGATCATCCCAGTTTATAAGAAGGGGGAGAAAGCTTCTTGTGACAAACATAGGGGAATTAGCTTGACTAATATGTCCAATATCCTATGGTCCATAATTATGCGACGCCTAACTGGAGCTCGAGAACAGCGAACTCGAGAAAACCAGACAGGTTTCAGAGCTGGTCGAGGGTGCATTGATCAGATTTTCGCCCTGTGTCAGGTTCTGGAACACAGGGATACCTTCTACTAGCGGCCGAAACTTGCCATATTTCTTGATCTGAAAGCGGCATTCGAGTCCGTCGACCATGAGGTGTTGTGGCAGTGTCTAGTTGTGAAGGGGGTATCGAGCAAGTATATAATGGTTGTCAAAGCTCTCTACTCTAAATCACGCAACCGTGTCAGGGCTTATAGAGAGTTGTCATGTGGATTGACGACGACTAGTGGTGTTCGTCAGGGATGTTGACTATCACCATTCCCACTTTACGCTGTTATAGACGTACGGATGAGTGGAAGCTTATGTGTGTCTGAACATGATGAGCAGAAATTTGTGTTTGATGTGCGTTTCGCACCTGTTAAGTGTAAGATGGTACTTGCGGACTGGTCCACAACCACTCCCAGTTTAGTATTATGGAGTGAAGTGGTAGAATGTATCGGCCTCTTCATTGAATTGGAGAGTTGCATCAGTCCGAATGTGCTGGTTGCTGATGGAGTCTCATTTCGGATACAGAAGGCCTGTGTGGCATTTACCCACTTTTGTCACCTGTGAACCGGATAAGATATCTGACTATTAATTAAAGGACGGGTATACTGCGCTGCAGTCCACTGTTTCCTGTTGTATGGCTGTGGGACGGCTAATAAAAGTAGAAGGCATGAGGCCTTTACCGAATTTTGATCACAGATGTCTTCGTAGCATTGTTCGCGTTTGGTGGAATCACCATGTGAGCAATGCTGAGGTCAGGCAAAGGGTAGTAAACAAGACAGGCAAGTCGATTGAAGAGATTATAAACCTTCATCTACTGAGATGAACATGTACTGCGCATGCCCAGCCGCCGCCTACCTGGACGTGCCATGCTGAAGGAAGATGGATTAGGTTAGTAGAGGGTTCAGGATGGCCAGACCGTGACGTGGCATCAGTCGATGAAGTCCCTGACTGCTGGTCCGAGATGTAGACTACCTGGTTGGCGTCATCGAGGCGATAGAAATCAGGGGTTGAGGACTGTTGGTGACATGGCAGAAAATCTGCCACAATGGTGCAGATGTATTCACTTAACATTTTCTGAAGCTTGAATATTGCACTACTTTTTAATCTTCAGATTGTTTATTCTCTCATACAACTCTGTCTTTAATATCTCTTTCTACCCACCTGTTCCTTTTGTACTACTGTGAAATGTGGCAGCTTGTGTGCAAGCTTTTTTGCTGGTCTTGTCATTTTCAGTGCAAACCATGTTGGTAGCTCTAACAAAACTGTAATAAATGTTTTTCCCGAAAGTTGTCATTTTAGTTGGCTATGACAATGAGTGTTTTTGTTGTTTGCAGAGATTTTTACTTGTCATGGCATTGTCTCTGTAGGTAGTTCTGTCTTCCAACTTCCAAAATTTACCTACCTAGAGGATTTCCAAATCAAGGATACAATTATGTTGGTGAACCTAAAGAGTTTTCCAAAATTTTTAGATGGGGTAAGGGTGTTACCTTACTCTAGACTTACTTACTGTTGTTGTCGTCTCTAATTTTGTACCCACTTGGACTAATGGTCAGAAAGCTGTTGAATGTATTTCTTTTTACTCACGTGAGTACTCTTGATGTATAATAATACTTCACAACTTTTCACATATTTATGCATTAGACTGTAAAGGATTTATTGTGATATTTATGACACTTCACAGTGATTTGGACGGAAGTACATGGTGCCTGTTTTTTGTCTGAAAGTCAATTACTGAGGCGTGTTAGCCACATCTTCTCTTGACCTCAACCGACAAGTAATTAACAGTAAGTGTTGTAACTCATTCGAACCGCAAACTTTAAGGAGCATCCAATCAGCAATATCGTATCTCAAATATGCGGTTTATCGACCAACAACTCTTCATGATCCTTGAAACAGTAGACAGTAAAATTTCGAAATGTTCAGTTGGTCTTCTAGCCCTGTGATCTAAACCTCAATGCGCCACGCTTGAGTCAGATAACATTGACTTAACCTACGAAACAGATATCCTGAATGCACCTCGATTACGGAAACTCAATGAAATCACGGCACCGGATAACGAATTCCTAACTTTTCCTGGGGTGAGGTGAAACTAGTCAGGATTACACAGTTGTTTCATTGGTCTAGGGATTTGACTTTGAACCAGTGAGTGACAGGTCCGGGTACCGCTCCTCCTGCCGAGTTCGGGCAACCAGGCAATATCATTAGCCTTCACATAATAGGTATGACTCATTGCCTACTGGACGAATGTGCACAAGATTCCTCAGCTGGTTTCCATTCTCACTTTTATGCAGGCATTTCTGCTCTATGCCTCGGTTACGACTTTTGAGATTTAAGGTTGTCAGGCATCAGTGTCCGATAAATATTAAGCCATATAACTGCTCTGTAGTGGTGCAAGTTATTCCGAAGTTTTACCGCGCATTTCCTGGCGTAACAGAAATTGCAATTCAGCTAGTGAAGTCATCTATGCAAATCGACATAGGTGGCTCGGGCAAGTTATACGCGTGTTAACCCACTGCCTCCTATACCAATTACTATTTGTTTACGTTTGCATTGATTAAAAAAGTAGAGTGCATCACTGGGCGCCGTTAAATTACGTTGAGTTAATTTCAAGGTGGGACCTCAGAGGTAACGCAGCCCGTTTTAAATGTATGTGATCCAGACGTCATGTGTATCCCTTTATCCTTCATTATCAGTAAGCAGCACAAAAGTAATCAGCGTCCCTTTGAATGCATCTTACGGCTTGACTTTCCGATTATCTTGTTGTTCCTTACCTTACTCTTGTGTCTTCCCACTGTGATGCATTAACGAGCGTCAGTGCTGTACCTGGTTTGTCTTTTTTGGATCAAAGGGGTGTGGCTCTGGTGAACAAAACCTCATCAGAGTAGTTGTAGCTCATGTGCTACCACTTATTGCCCATTTCCCCTCATCTTTCAATAATGGACCGCCGTTGACTAGTGAAATGGGGTATGAGGTTATGTTTAGTCGCCACTACTCCTGAAAAGTCTAGATCAACCGCTATTGAATTCTGAATATTAATTTCCAAGTAAGATAAAGTTGTTGACATGACTGGAAAAAACGTGAGCAAGACATTCGACCCATATCAGTTCGCGTTTCAGCGCACAGTTTTAAATAATCGACTATCAACAATCCTATCTTTTCTCTAGCCGTTTTTAGTTCTTGTTCAGCAGTTTAGACACTCGCACTCCAAATTGTGAGTTTGAAGTTACTTCATATATTGTAGTATAGAAAACTGACCTATATTTTTGCGTACAAAAGTGACGTAACCTACGCCCTAGTTTAATATCGACTGGGTGGCACAATTGTAATTAAATTGCCTAGTGGCACTGTTTATTTTTACTACTGTCTGCTATTTTCCACTAATACCTGGGGCCTTGTTCACCGTCGTCTCCAATTCCACGCCATTCCAACTTCTCATGAAAAAAAACATCCTAGCTCCATTACAGTCAAATGAATAGACTTAAGTACTGGCTTTCAGGTACTTCAAGTCGTGGCATATGAATGTTGCTAGAAAAGTTCTCACGATAACCGCGTCGTCATTAAGATTTTATACTGTTATGCATAATCATTCAAATTCGAATTATATTTCTACTCAGTAATAAATCTGCTTCAGGTTTCTTATGAAATTGTCCCACGAGACGGTGACAATAGAGCTAAAAAATGGTACACAAGTCCATGGGAGTATTGCTGGAGTTGATGTGTCAATGAATACGCATATGCGATCTGTAACGCTGACACTTAAAAATCGAGATGCGATTAATCTGGATACTTTGACTGTTCGTGGAAACAATATAAGGTACTTCATTCTCCCCGAAAGCCTCCCATTGGACACACTTCTTATTGATGAAGGGCCGCCAAAAAGAAAACCTGGACGTGAAGGTAACCTGACTGTTTGTTTGTTTTCGATTGGTTGAACTGTTTATGATACTTTTTGGTTTCGATGTTTTACCAAGAGGATTGATTTAAAAGTTGTTAGATTAGCTTATAAATGACTCGTTTCATTTTCTGGATGTCGTCGTTTTGTTTGCGGTCAACCATCAAGTTTTTGTTGATCCATTTCAAATAATTTCCTTTGGTCAGCTAAGGGGTTTTATAGGTCCAGATCCCTCTTTGTTAGGTGTAACTCAGTGTCTAATGCATAAACCTAGTTCCTTCATTTAAGTGGATGTAATTAGCACTTATTAATTATGCCTCCAGTTTCTTTCGTCTTCAGCATATTATGTTTATTTTCAGAACGTCCTACCATTCGGGGTCGTGGCCGAGGTCTTATTCGTGGGCGTGGACGTGGGGGTCCTCGGGGTCGTGGGCGTGGCCCACCAATGCGTTTCTAATGTATATCCCATGTATATGTGCAAATACTGAACTTAATCCCAACAGTTATTCATAAATAAAAGTTTTATGTAAGTGATTTACTTTATTTTAGAATACTAATTAAGCTTAGACTGAAAGGAGAGGGTATATTTTATCTGGTTAAGCCGCGTTACCTAACATTCATAAAATCTTTTTTCAACGGCGCTATGTACAAGAGATATCGCCTAAATGAGCGTATTTGTATGTCATCTGTTCGATCTTTTTGGCAATAAGGCGTTTCGCTTCATAGTTGTATGCGGTCTGCGTGTACCTAAAATAACAAGGTAAAGTGGAATAGTGGTCAGCTAAGAAAACAATAAGAAAACTCCCTTACATTATTTAAAAATTATCACACCTAGTAATCATTGTGATTAACCTACTGTGTATATGGAGTTACTAAATCTACACGAACTACTTACTACCAAGCATTATGGCTGATGACAAGAAATATACGGAGAAAAGCAATTAATTATTACTCCAAATCTAGATAAGAAAGTTGTAAATTATCAAGAAAATCTTTACACTGAGACAACAAGTACAGCTGTGCTTCATAGAGTAACTTGTACAAAATTTACTGAGTAGGTCTATAAAATTATCTGTCCATGATTAACTGGCTATATTCATGCAATCGGAATCATATTATATTTTCAGCCCAAACTTACTTGTTAACTCAGTAGATTCATTCCTTTCTTAGTAATTTTACATTTGAACTCTTGGCTACAGTGTTCATTAGTTGGACTAGCAAACTTCTTTTTTTTGAATATCCGTTGACAGTCGAGTGCGCCAATAGCGAACCACGACGACTTGGCATGAAGTTTAAACTGGCTACTTCGGTAGCGATTTTTGAAGGCCGACAACGTCCAGATGCACTTTTACTTTTACTTTTCCGCTGACGCTTTTGTTTTGTATGCAGATCACCTACGTTATGATCAATAACTCCACTTTGTTTGTTGTATTGTGTCATGGGTCCCACTTCATTTGTGTTATGGATTGTCGTGAATATGTTGTTAGATATTTCATCTGAGACCTCTTTAAAAGCAAGTTCTTGTTCACTAGGGTCGATGTCCTCGAAGTCGTCAACTTGTTGTCCAGTGATGTAAAAGTCTGGGTCCTGAAGGGAATTAAAATAAACATTTAGATTATTATACTGGTTATCAGTACTGACTACCACACACGAGAGCACGGGAATTTTGCTTGGTGTATAGAGTAAAATCCTTTAGGCCTATTGCGCCCACTTTATCACTTCTTCCTACTGTTGCAAGTTGCTGCGTCTTTCCAGTTAATTCTCACCAGCTAAAAATGTGAGAAATACTAAGGACTTTTAAGCTTGAAATTAAAGATACATTGGACTGTAGTAGTTCCTTTTACTCATTCTCAGTCTGTACACTTACCATTTCGTAATATTAATTTCGGAAGTGTTATCATACTTCAATCCACCTTAAAAAGTTATTACTTTGCACATGGGAATGGATCTGTTTAGTGTCTAAGCTAACTTAAGGATACTTTGTCGTATTCCGTTTCTCGAGTGATGGTTGTTTCCCAAGACAGCGTGGTTCTGAGGCTATGCATTCACCACTGCAAGACTTCGACGATCGTTTCTAAACCTGGTCAGAACCTTATTTAATCCATTGGTGAACTGGTAACCGGGTCATTGGCTTCAATCCTGTCATAGCCCAGGTTCTCATCTTAAGTCAACAGCCCATTCATCCTATGTAGGTCGATATGTATACAAAGTGAAAACGAATCATAGACCCTAAATAATACCTTTTCTGCTGCTTTACATTCGGTGTCTTCTTCATCGGTAAAATATATCGTGGCTTAGTGATGATATAGGCAAGGACAATGGTTTTGTGGTAGCTAAGAAATAGGCTTAGTTTTACCAGTTTTTAATAATAAAAGTGAAATTTCAACATACTTCGTCGAAATCTCCGGTGGTTGTAGAGCGTTTGACAGCGGAGTTTTGTTCTGTTTTAAATGGATTCACATTGAACTGCCCAGCTAAACAAGGATATCCTGATGTAGTTGGTGAACATTTCTGTGGTGTAGACGTGCCTGATTTAGGCAGAGAAGCGCAATTCAATTTAAATTCACCGGACACATCTTTGATTTCATTCAAATCGTTTACCGAAGATTCTATTCCTAGTTCACCTTGACTACAACGTTGTTTTAGCTGTCTCAGTAGGATACAAAATTCACTGCGTAACTTTGCTAGTCGCATATTATTTGATGTTGCCGAGGATTCAGTTATGTTCTTAGGACTGGATGCTTCTTCCAACTGCCTTTGAACCCATCGAAGCTGTGCCTGGAGCTGTAACAATTAACATTCAGAATATCAGATGAAATGATGCTCAATAAGAATGAGTAGGCAAACATTATGAGTCAGTCATAGGTTTTGTAAAAGGTGTTTGGTGACAGCTATTGATAAGCTGCTTACAAAGATGTCCGATTATAGTATCCTCACTGTTACGCTTTATTAAACCAAATTGATGGTATTCACAGTCTTTTGTTGAGCACACCTTAATGGCTAATGGATTTGGTAGCGTAGACTGCACTTGGTTAGTTGTAATGAATTTTTAACCCCCAGTTTATTCACCAGCGTGGAAGACTAGGTACCACTTTTAATCGCAAATCCCTGGGGACTCCAAGTCTATAAAATAATCTAACATAGAACTGTCATAAAACACCCTTATAAGAATACAATAGAACATCTTGGTTTATGTTTGTGAAAAACATCTTGTCAGTAAATCAATACAAATTGCTTCTTCGCAGCTCGGTAGCTCAGTAACTTTGTTTACTAGGTTAATTAGTCTTCTATGTTTTTATTTATAAAAGTCTGATATATGCTATTGGCTTATGAAAGGTCTGAAATCGATACATAAATGCTGATTATTTTCAAAGCCGCATACTATTTATACTTACTATGATATAAAGCAGAAGTAATCCTTCAAGTATATCAACACGTCAGCAATGTTTATATGTCGTTAATGCAGATTAGTCGACCAATGAGATGTATTTTTTGTTACGTTTCATTGTTATAATCTTGCAGGCAACTTATTCCCCTTGGTAACAAATAACGGGTGACTAGAGGTCATCCTAGCAACGATCAAAATAACCAATTAGGTGTCTTTATTTCGCCTGGAAAGTTAGATTTCCATAAAATAGGGAAGTCTGACTGGTTATTCCAGATGTTGCTAGGATGGCCTTGAAAGTTGGGCCAAATAACTTGCAACAAGGTTTCACAAGTGCAATGGAAGAGAGAGAACAAGATTCCATCTTACCACAGTATTGACAGTAATTCATCCCAATATATTGATGTTACCTTTAAATACTTCCATTTTCTCAAGTGATGCTGAGGAGGGGTAAATAATAAATATCATAGTATGAAATATTCTTGTATCATTTTGAAAGTGCTTTCCATGTTGCTTCCGTTATCATTTTCAACGGATTGAAGGCGCTTTCATAGTCAATTTGGATAAAGGCTCGCGGACAGAGAGAGATAGTCGAGAAACATAGTATTTAAGCACCAGTATTCAGAAATATTGGGCAGTACTGTCTTCCGTCAGATAATCAAGCATCCGTACACGAGAAGTCTGGTTCAAATCTTTCTACATTCATCACACAATTTTCAGCAGTTCCCTTTTTCTTTCTCTTCAGTTTGTTTTGAACCGCCACTTGTGACTGATAATACACATAAGGTAGATAGGTAGTTTAAACAGTGTAAGAAAAGAGGAAACCTTACGGAAGTTAAATTTCGTAAGTACACCCGAACCAGAAGGGCGCTTTTAAAATAAAAATGTAATGATAGATTATTTCAAATTGTTAATCACCTTTTCAGAATCAAATGTGATGTGACAAAAATGAGTAAGTTACCCAAGATTTGTTAACCGTTATTGGAAAATGATTTGGTTACTTTGGTGGAGACGTTGAGTATTGTATATTTGAAAATACCAGTCAGATTGAAGATTCGTCCCCAGTCGATCTATTTCAGTCTTCATAACTTGATAGTGTCTTTGACCTTAACTTCATGTAGCATATATTCTGGTCATCAGGTATATACACAACTTTAAAGTTGCATTTGATTTTAGAATACGAACAAAAGTGACACTTCGCTTAGACTATCTTATTTCCAAAATAAATACATATATCATGAAACTGAACTACGCATACATTTGGACTGACAATGAAGCCAAATGTTCAAAAATTGTCGTAGAATGTAATTTCAAACAGGTTTACGTTCATTACAGTTATGACCAGAGTTATATTTATGTTCTGCTGATGCAAACAAATTATGCCAGAACTTGCAGTATAAATGCTTTTTTAAAATATTATGGAATCGCTTCTTACTGCAATGCTGACAGAATATAGCCTCTAAACAAACAATTTTCATTTATTCATTCTTTGTTTAGATATGTTAACGGTTAGCGATTTTTTGAGATGATCTACACAAAATAATACTCAGCATATAATTAATTATTTACTACTAAACTGAAATGGGCAAGAAAGCGTTCTTCATTTTATAAAAAAATCTGCACTAAATAACGAAGGAATTTGTCATATCAGCACTTCGTTGATACATTTCAACAGTTAGACAGATAAAATTTTCAGGAGCAGAATTTTGATAAAACAAAGTTAGTCTGAAATCATTTCTACCAGACAGATAATTCGATGTGTGTATGTCTCGATTAAAACAATGCATAGGCTTGTACCGATGATCATTTTGATAAATCCTATGTTGTTCAGAATGTGGTTTACATTTATCTTGAATGGAAATTAGAGCACAGGCAACTATGCGGTCTGTCTACCACCAGTAAAACCACGAGTAACAGTGCTTGTCTCGGATAAATTTGGATAACTTTGGGTAGAAGAGAATATGACGTAAACAGATTGCAATACCTTGGGATGAGCAAAAGTGAGGTGAGTTCGGTCATCCCCTCAAAATGTACTACTCAAAGAACCATAGTTTATGAGACAAAAGTCCTATTCAGTGCCATCATGTGGTAGGAACGTTTTCACAAAAGTGAGAAAGGGAAAGAGAATGTCTTGTGCTTATCATCAAATTTGTACATGCAGAGGGTCCACCTATTGGATTTGGAAAACCCTAATTTTAAACCAATGATGAAAATAGACTTCAGTATCCAGAATGAGTAAATGGTGTACGTTCGTCAATGGTAACTATGGGAATGTAGCATTTGACATAGCGTTGCTCCCTTGTGGATCAATTTTCAAGTTAAAGTCTTGGGCAACAGTCACCTAGGACAACCATCTCCTTCGATCTGGGCGTTCGGACAGTAGAACAACCCACACACAAATCATGAAGCTGTATGTATAGTGAGGAATTCAAAGCGCTCACCAAATCTCTGTCAAAAAGTAAATTCACTGACTAACTTCCTGGTACCACTCAATTTATTGTCTTCATTACTACTTCCAACCTTATCTGTATGTCTATCCTTGTTTCAATCAGCCACTTGTCATTGATTGAAATTCTGGTCCGTCTGTAGCGTCTTGCGTACCTAAACAATTGGAAAAATGGAATACAAATCCACCCAGTGACCTTGTACACATTTGAGCAGAAGACAACGAGCTACATTTATTGTGTGAAGGCTAGTAATACTACCTATTTGTCCAAACCTCCATAGACGAACCTGGGTTCTAACGCATGACTCATCGGTTGAAAGTCAAATACCTAGGTCAATGAGCCATAGCTTTACTCATGAACAGTTGCTTCCGCAAAGCCAATTTGACTCAACCTATCCAAAAGCACACAGCGTTTAAGCTAGTTGTCCTCAACACTTAGTTCTTGATGCAGATCAGATAACGTAGGTTTCGCTGATTAGGCCTATGAAAAGCCTCGCTTTTGACACATGCTATATTCTCAAAGACCCTCATGCAACATTCCACTGAGGTGTTTCAAAAAGCTCTATTTTTCAGTTAGGAAAGTTTTTGTCACTCAATTATCCCGAGAACTTGTGGCATCAGGAGCTGGTCTTGCTGGTGTTGCACTAAGTACCTGAAGCGAAGCTGTACCAGTCAACTGTATCCCTATCAAGAGTCATCTATATTCTGCTTAGCTAGAATATTAAAGTAGAAGTAACTGTCATCTCTGTCTCGACCGATTGCAGTTAAGGATCAATTTGAAAATCAACTGAGTAGCACTTTCAACCAGACATGCCCGACATATATCGCAGTGCTATACTGTGACCTGAATTAACAGGCTCCAAAAACAGTCATTTAGATGAAAAATAAGGATTAGTGTGTAACAGGACAGATAACTAGGATGGTCTTCCGCAGTTTACTTAGACTCTTATCACGTTTTAATTCGAGCTAAGTTCATCTAACGTCCTGCTGGTCATCATAATCAGATTGATGTAAGTAAACTGGTTGCTGTCAGTGTTGTAGATTAATAGGAAATCAAAGTGGATTCAAGAATAGCAGTCGAAGTTGTAAGCATTATAGATGAGCATTAACTCCACTCATTATACGCCATAAAACTGGGAAATCAAGTTATGTGCAAGTTTAAAAAAAACGACCTGATAGTAAACAGTGGGTCTCTGTGAGGTCGTTACGACCTCTTGACGCTCGTCAGTGTATTCCGATAGACACTGAGTTAAGTGGTATACGCAAGTCCCTTACGCAATAAATCACCTAGTGTTTACTTTTAGACGGATGAGTTAGATGACAACAACAGCTACATTTTAACAGAAAAATACACCAACTTATAGGAGACAAAAAGTGCATCAGTTCAAGCTGATTGATCTAGCAACAATCGGAGGTTTTTCTTGTCCATCCAGGCCTTTGGTAAGAAGAAAACTGATGTAAGTGGAGGGGTCTGTGAAGCACACGGTATGCAGAACAATAAACTTTTCATATAGAATCACTGGTCTCCTGAAGCCACATTCCAAACCACACATTGGAATTCTCAATGTTTCCACTCGATCGATAGCTGCTACCTTGACTTAGAGGTCGGGCTTGCATATAACAGTCACCGAACGAGTTACGCTGGTGGAGCACTTGTTGCCATGAGGTTCCATTAAGCTAGAAAGGTCTGTTAGATAGTAGTAAGACAAAAAGCAGTTACCGTTGCAGTGTACATTACTACACTGTGACGGGGGTCTCAGGGCAAGGTCGTACTGCTACTAGCTCGATGGTATGTGACAGTAGTATGGTGTTTCCCTCGAATGTGTCCCTGAGACATATACAGGTAGGATCCAAGTGTGGTTATTAGATTGACGTAACCTGGCCAGTGGGGTGAATCTTCGAAATTCAACTTACGAGTTTCCGGAGACCCAATGGACTCTAGTGTGGACATAG